CAACGGCCAAACTCCCTTGGCATGCTTATCTCTCTATTTTGGCCGATTTCTACTCTTTCCAGCCGCCTCCTCAAGCCTGGTAGAGGCTAGGTCAAGCCCTCGACTACCATACGCGATAACTCTCTCCACCCCCCTCTGTTCCTCGGGACAGAATTGCTCCCAAGCCGTCATGGCTGGCATCAATATGGTGTGAATGGAAGCTGAAAGTCATGGTACACCAGGATGTCGGCACTCATCAAACATTTCTTCAGGGTGTCAAAAGCTTTTTGACACTCAGGGGACCTTCCTGTTATAATGAATGAATGAAGACCTTGAAACTTTGAAACTGCGAAACTTTATTAGAATAACCATTAGCGGTGGACCCTAGGGACCACCGCTAGTCTTCCTGGTATTCATACATACAGACAATACATTATACAAACATAGTTGACAACTAGACAAGTCACAAATCACATCTAAATCAATAACATATTTACAATATACATAATTTAAAAAACTGACAATCCTGTCGAACAGTGCTTGTGAGCTACTGATGGAAGTATTTGTGCAAACCGTCCTTAAACACTCTCAGGGATTGTGTGGATTGCATAACAATTGGAAGGTTATTCCAGACACTAACAGCCCTGTACATGAAACACTTCTTCCGTGCGTTAGTTCTAGGTTTGTCTAACAGAAAAGACTGTTTAGCAGCAAAACGGTTTCTATAACTATGCAAATTGTTGACAGAACGCAGTTGCCTACTGATACAAATGGGTTCGTTAGTGAGTGTTATCCTTGTCATGGTGTTTATTAACAATCTCGTGTGCACAGGTTTCCACTGTGGCTTCGACTGAAACAGACGAGTTGCCTTGTTCTGCATTCGTTGTAGAAGGTTTATGTTAGTTTTAGTGGCGCATGACCAAACTGGGCTGCAATAATCAACGTAAGGCATTCTATTACGATTTTTAACAGTGTCTGATCAAGGACATTATACATATATCTGTGTATAATGTCCTTGGTCTGATCCATAAAGTGTGCACATCTTTTGATCATCCCCAGTGATCTAGCCATTTTCTTAGATGTTAATTTTGTGTGAGTATTCCAGGTAAGGCACTCATCTACTGTCGAACCAAGTAGTTTTACCTCTGAGACCTGTTCGATAAACCTTACCATTTGCAGTTAGTGTGAGTTTGGGTTTAGCAGACATTTTGGGCTTGCTCCCTAGTACAATACATTTTGTTTTTGAAGTGTTCAAGAAAAGCTGGTTCACTCTTACCCAGTTACAGATGTTGTTTACCTCTGTCTGTAGATTACTTGAGATAGTTTCAATTGAAGGAGCGCATATGTAGGCTGATGTGTCATCAGCATACATATCCGCTGTGGCCTGGGCGATGGCAAGCGGTAGATCGTTAGTATAAATGGTAAAGAGAAGGGGCCCTAAACAGCTCCCATGGGGCACACCGCAAGGCGCCGAGAGCGTTTGGGACCTTTACAAAGTTATAATGAATAAATGAATAAAGTTATAAAGTAATTTGTTTTGATCTTACGCATTTCAAAGACCTTAGAACATGGCCACCTTTCCTCAGCCAATCAGGAGCCTGTATTTCTTGTGACTAAATCCACATAGCGGGATGCCAACAAAATCCTTGGGAGGGCGGGTCTGTACCAAATCCACATAAACTCGCTCCGCCCATCCTTTAACTAATACTTAAAAGCCAACAATCCTTTTGTACTACAAGTTCACACATCCATGGTAATAGTCATGGATTAAACATCTATGAATATTCGCCATGTCTGTCGTAGCTAATTACAGCGGACGTAAACCGAACCTTTTGTCGGCTTGGCGGTAATTTTTCGGCCCCGGCCTGTACCAAGCACAGGCGATCTCGAGTTATTCCACGGACTTATCTCCAGCTGGTTTCCCTGTATCCACTGACTTCCTGTATTACGCTCTGTCTTCTGTTACCGCCGACCTAAGAAACCTACCCCCCCACCCCCCGAAGCGGGATAATTAAGCCTTGGTTGGCGGCCCCAAACGCTATCGGCGCCGAAGGGATAGCGCTGAGCTCACGGCTACTGGCTACTGTGAAGGACCGTGACATTCCTCAGTGCCCGGCACTGTCAGTGGTGCACATCGTTCGAGGATGAAGATTCTTCAAGTTTTTGTAATCCTCTCAGCCGCTAGTCTTTTACAACATGGTGAAGGTAAGCACTATTATCTACGTCTTGAATAGAATTGTTCTCCTAAGCGTTGTGTTTATGTTTGTACTTACGCGATTGGGGATATTGGGGTGTTCGGGAAGTTTGTGCTTTCGGAGACTAAATTATAGCTTCCCCCGCCCAGTGCAACAGTCGTACTCATCAAATCGCAAAGTCGTACTCAGCTCTGAGACTTAAACGTAATTCGTAATCGGCGAAAATTTTGCGTAGTTCGTAATCACTACCCCCATGCAGGCCCTCTGACATGTCACCGAACTTGTGCCCTTGGGAATGGCACTTACCACGATGAATTCTCATGTGAAAATTAATATTTGTCACTGAATTGTCATGTATGTGTCCTCTGTTTTGATGGCGGTATGAAATAAGATGATATAACTTAAGTTTGCCGTCAAGAAATGTTGGAATATAATGAATCCTGTAATCATTTATATGTTCAAAAACGCGATACACTTTCTACTTGACTGTGCATTATATAAAGATGAACGCCAAGAACTACTCGATATTTTACATTTAGACAAGATATGCAGGAAAATGTCAAAGCAGGACACGTTTAAACACTTAATGTCATGCAATAACGAATGTATAGCAGACAAACTATGTAATTACCTTCGTCAAGAATTGGAGAAGGTTATGTTTTCCTGGCCGTGTGTGTGTGTGTGTGTCTGTCTGTCAACAGCATAACTCGAGAAAGCTTAAATGGATTATCTTGATATTTGGTAGATGGGTAGGTCTTGATGAGAGCTCGAACTGATTAGATTTTGGGCCCCCTGGCGGCTTGTCATGGTACTGCAGCTGAACTTCCGGTTTTGATATCTCATGATCCAGACATGCTAGGGTGACGAAATTTGGATGGCAGGTAGCTCTTGTGCTGGGGAAGAAGTGACGTGAGTTTGGGCCCCCTAGTTGCTTGCTCTAGAACTGCAGGGGGGTTTAAAGGACAAATGTTTAAAGGAGGATAACTCAAGAACCGATTGATGGATCATCATGATTTTTGGTATGTAGGTAGCTTGAGTAATGCTTGACATAATGATATTACAATTATGCAAATATGGATGTAATTTGCATAATTAATGAGGAAATTCTATTAATCAACTGCATTCCATGATAGGAAGTTCAAGCTTGCGACATATGTTATTAACAACGAGAGAAACACAGGCAGATATCGATTATGCAAATGAAGACTTAATTTGCATAATTAATGAGAAAACGTTATAATTGCATAGTGGTAACTGCCTGGGGTGTTTGAAGTTTAGTGAAGGTAAACATAATTTAACATAACTTATTCAAATAAGGACCTCATTTGCATAATATATGAGGAAATGCTATAATGGCATTCTTTGTTAAAATAAGACTGTTGGTGGAGATCATGATCAACAGATATAATTCATGCAATTGCGGATCCTATTTGCATAATCAGGGGGATTAATACATTGTATATAAGTTCTCATTCATAAAAGCTAACATCATTTGGCGAAGGTATGAGATCGTGGAACTCTAGTTATGTTTCCAAATGTTTCAAAAACAGAGAAGAAAGGGCAACTAACAGTAGATGATAGGTAGTATATAGTATTGTTATAATGTATAAATTCCTAGCAATTAGCATTAGAATATAGCGTCCCAGGCCCAGTATGCAATACTCATGTTTTGCATACTGCATGTCCTCTTGTGCATTTAGCCCATCTGGGCAAGAACATGCAATAAAGATTCATATCATATCATCATCATATCAATAAAAAGTACAAATAGGCACACGCAATAATCTTTTCCATTTCCTCTCCTATTCCATGGAATCCATCTGTAGGCGTTGCACCGGAAGAAGTGAGCGACCTCCTGGACAACGCACTGACCGTCTGGCGCGAGGCTAGGGACATTCTGAATTCTGCGTGCAGCCTGCAAGCGATGACAGAACAGGAACAAGAACTCCAACGAATTGTGAGCGAAATCAGGGTAATGCGGGCAAGACTTCAGAGACTTCCTGCCCCACAGCAAACACAGTCAGTACACGGGCTCACTATAGAACTGAGGCAGCTAGAGGAGAACATAGGAAACACACTTCAGGAATGCAGGAATCAGATAGACGCAGCATCTGAGAGTACGACCCCAGAACAAGAAAACACCGGTGGCCGGCCCCGATACGTCGTAGATCCGGGTTCCATGAGAGCAAGTTTCGACGCAGGAGTCGCGTTTAATGTTCAAGCAAGAGTACAAGGTATGCACAATCTGTTACATTTATCGTAAAATATAAAACATTCAACCATACACTGGCATAATCGCGATCTTTCAACTCACCTTCTAAACTTTAACCAGTAAAAAAACTCAAACAAATCCGCTTTCACCTGCTTCTCGAACGTTAACCTTTTGTAGGGGATTGATGTAATAGACCAGTTTGCGGGTTTGTAAGGCCATGTTGATTTGATTATATGGATGACATCCGCGCGCACATGAATTTTCGGCCGTTTCCAAAAAAACGTTTTCAACCATACTGTACATGTATATCGTACAAAACAGTTGCAAAATGAGCAAAAATATACCATAAGTTACAAAAAAAATCAATAAAAACTATACCAGTGTCGTGGAATGCCAAAATCAAACGAGAAAAGACGAAATTGTAAAGAAATGAACTTGAAGACTAGATTATTCGCCAAACCATATTCTGTGCCATTTGCTCAACCCTCATGACCACGTAGATTTCATAATGACAAGAACTTTTTTTTTCAAAACTTTTTTTTATTCGCACGCGCTCATCAGTTTTGGGGCTCCCGGAGGATGTCATCCATATAATCAAATCAACATATGGCCTAATAGAAGCCCTAGAAAAATTCCCTTTGTAATGCTTGTCGCTTGTCGCTTTTAGCAGTCATCTACGGACAATGGGTGTGAATGCTTCCTTTTCTTCTTACCCCTTGCGTTACTTGACTGGTTTGCAGGTGAAATAACGGGTTCGTGCGCATTGATAAATTATTCATAAATCACTCGCCGCTAGAAGACCCTAGAAATATACTAGTACTAGTACTTGACAGGTCTATGACGCATATATAGAAAGAAAGTAGTGCGGACAAAACTCTTGGATCCTGGCTAGAGGGACTTATATGAGAGGGAGCCACATGTAGTATAGATGTATCGGCTTGTACACCGTATGATTTAGATTGTGAAGATTTCCCTGTCCGTGTGTAAAATATGACTCATTACACATCCGCGTTCCAAGGTGACCGGACTGCAGTTCCGATGACCTCCGTAGGTGGCCATATAAAAGGGGTCGACACGATGTTAAAAAAACAATATCTTTTTGTTGTTTTCAGTTATTTTATAGATTATACCGTATATTTCAACATGTTAGTTGGCCGTGTCGAAGTGAGTCACCTCCAGGTGCTTAACTGCCACCATCATAATCTTTGTGATGATTTTTTTGTGTGCATGAGACAAGTTTAAGTAGACCGCGGTATAGGAAAAGAACAAGTTTCCTAAGACATTATGGGGCAGCATTGCGATTTTAATTTCACGAGGGGAACGATTATTTCAGGCGTTCTGAGAGCTTTGTCAATTGGTCCGCCCGAACAAAAAAAAACGGTCCGTCCCTATCCTTCAGATGGCGATATCTATGTGCTATAGATCTTTCCGCTCTGCAGTCAAGTTTAGGTTGCAGAGAGAGCACGTTCATTGCGCCGTCCTATATAGCGGAATGTTGACCTTAGCGATGGCGTTGATATAAATTTGTTACAGTAACTGGGATCAAACTTTGTTAGTTACAGTATGGCTTTAAACCAGTTGTCACTTGTATCTCTGTACAACAGACGCCAGGGACTATGTACGAAGTTTGCTACTTCCTTATCAAACTCAACGACCTTCTCTAACTGGCTTCCCCCAAAACGTGTGAGCCTTCATGGCAGAAACCTCAGATCCAAACACCAGATAACACAGTTTAAATGTAGGACGGAACGACATAGGAAGAGCACATTGCCGTTCTTCCGTGTCTTTTAGTGGACCTGTTAAACGCCGAACAGCCCAAGACAGTCCTCGAGTAACACATGTATATTTATATTTATACTAATGTTTATGCATGACATGATTTTCTTAGAGAATATGATTTATAGCGTTGGAGTTAGAATTAATGTCGTTATCTTGCGTTGATTTTAACAGTTGTCCCTTGTGATTGTTTGCCTAATGCTACGTTACCTAATTATAAGTATCACTGAGTGGAGCTTTTTAACAATGTAATGTAAATCATACATCTTTTCAGCTGATAATGGCTGCTACTGTATGTTTTGTACGATGTGTAGTTTGTATCGAAATAAACCATTCATATATACATATAACTTCAGTATGCCACCACTATGTGTGAGCTTGCGTTTAGCTTATAAATGCATCTAGAAGACGAGCCTCTCAGAGGTTACATTTTGACATGAAGTATATATTTGCGATCAGATTCAGAGAAAGAACCGTGATAAGAAGAGGTTTTCCATTGTTGTTTATGCGAAACTCCTATGCAGCATATAGCTGTAGTATTGTTACAAGCCTATTGAATTATTCACAGGAGTGTCACAGTCTACAATGTACAGGAGGAGACGGGAGATGGGGTTTCTACAACAAAACAGATACACCAACATATCCGATGCCGACCTCGATCAAATGATGACCCGCATCTTGGCAAGAGATCCCAACTGTGGTAGATCCATGGCCTTGGGGGCTCTGCGACGGGAAGGAGTGACTGTCGCCGAAAGAAGGGTGTCTGAGTCATTGCGACGCGTAGGCGGTGCCCGGGTAGGAGCGAGGTTCCCGATACCAGTTCCAAGGAGACCTTACCGCGCAGTCTGTCCAGGTAAGGTGGTAGACCCTGGCCTTGTGCCATGATTAAGCCATATCTACTGTAAAATATATGTACAAACGAAAACATGAGATGTGGAATATGTCACATTCGAGCAAATACTGCACGGCAACACTTACATGTACGACAGTCGTTTTGTTGCGTCTATGGCTCGTATGAACGGTTACAAAGGAATTATACAGAAAATAAGACAATTATGACTACAGCTATACAAGTAGCGTAACTACTTATTCACACTGCTGTGTCGGGCAGACAGTACAATTCAATTAAAGTACATTCTTACATTTCAATCTCAAACACTCTCCTGCAACAAGGGTCTGATTCCCAAATATGAAAAGAAAACAGGGGGGGACCAGCTCAAACACTGACAACAGCTGACAACATTAAACACATAAACTCTACTCATGACCTAAATTCTCATGATTCCATCCACCCTGCGCGGGCCAGACTTCATCACTCAGGCCTCTCATTATGCCCATTAAACTTGTGAAATGAACAAAATTTAACCAAAGTGTGTGAAGGTTTAGACCCCACCTGTTCCCTCTAGCCCAAAAGTTTCCAAACTGGACCAAACTTTAAAAGAGAAAATAGGATTTTCAAAGATATTACCTAGGAAATACATCTTGGGCTTTTACTGCGAAAAACAATGATGACGTCTGCCCTGTAACAAATGAAATACTAGTATACATATCTTATACATGTATGTTTAAAGCACCTCTGTATAAATATCAGAAAACTGTCAAGTTACTTCAACGTTTTCGTTAAAACCCCACGTTTGAAATGATAAGAATGGGAATAAGAACATGAATCATATCAGTTGATACAATTCTCCACCCAATAAAAGGTTTATGTTAAGAAAGAACGCTATTCTAGCATCTCATAAATTCTAAGGTCAGAACTTGAATAAATAATGTTAAATGGTGTTCAACTTCACTTAAGCCTCGCGGTCACAACCCGCCGTACCCGTCTGCTACGTTTTTCTGAAAAGGTTGGGAAGGAGTGGCGTCAACGCACGTCACTCGCACCGTTTCGCAAGGTGTAAGAGTGTGGTCTGCACGCCACGTCTGGCCGTGAGCGATTGCGTGCATCGTAAGTTGCGCAAGTGGTAAGTGAGTTCTACGTGCTTGCAACGTACGATCTCTGTGCGATTGCAACTTTACCTTAAGGAGGCCGTACTCACACGTGCTTCTTCCGCACGGCACGTACGGGGCACGCACGTCGCTCGTACTCGCACGCACGGGTGTGGATCCGAAGACCACACGTAGAAAAAGTTTTACATGCACTTAAACTTCTACGGCGTGTCTGCGTGCTCCCGAATCCGTAGGATTCCGTACGGAGGCGGTACTCACCACGCACGGATGCCCTACGTTTGCCCACATGTTTGCACGTAGACAGCACACAGAAGCACGTACGGCGGGTTGTGACCGTAGCTTTAACCTCCAAACGTCAAGTATTAAATTCCCAGCAATTACCATTATGACATTATGACAATTTCCCACTACTTATGCAAATTAGGATCTCATCTATATAATCAATATCTGCCAACGATGCTCTTGTTCGCAATTGCACGTCACATCTGTTTCATAGTTCTATTATCGAAGGAATCAGATTTATAGAATTTCCTTATTAATTATGCATGTTGGATCCTAATTTGAATATTTGCATATTTCAGGATGGGTTTGGCACATTGACAGTAATCACAAGCTTAACGGACACCCGCGGGGAATCAGGTCAGTAAAAACTGTCACTACACACTTGGCATAGTAGGACCAATCATGCCCCTCTCACATACAACTCTAGCCGAACGCCAGCCAAACATGGTTAGGAGTGGGTAGAATGGCGTTTAGCTAGGTCGGCTCCGTTTCAAAATTCGGCTGCGCCAGTCTTAAATCAGAGTGCTCCCGAAGTCAGATTCGAGGAAAGGTAACAGAAAACGGCTGTCCCTGTCCTTGGTGCTGATCTTGCTATCAGGGCTGAAAAATTTTGTTCATTCTTTGTTTATTGTTTTATTTCTACTTCCTTCAGATCTCTGTATGATGCAGATGCCACGTTTTGAATAGCAAACAAAATTAAATCACACAAAATGTAACGTGTTGCAATCAAAGATGATACGAGTATGTCTTATATTAATTATATGATCTTTGGGGGGTTCTTTGCAGAGACTCATGTTCACGTATCAGGCCGGCACGCAGTCCGCTAGGGCACACCATCAAGGATAAATCACGACTTCATGTTTTCTGTGTATTTTCTACAGTCGGCACGCAGTCCGCTAGGGCACACCATCAAGGATAAATCACGACTTCATGTTTTCTGTGTATTTTCTACAGTCGGCACGCAGTCCGCTAGGGCACACCATCAAGGATAAATCACGACTTCATGTTTTCTGTGTATTTTCTACAGTCGGCACGCAGTCCGCTAGGGCACACCATCAAGGATAAATCACGACTTCATGTTTTCTGTGTATTTTCTACAGTCGGCACGCAGTCCGTTGGGGTATATCTATACAAGCTGGTATAGACGGATACTCCAGGACTTGCACGTTCATCAGCGCGGCAGGTCTCAACACCGCAGACCAGATGATGAGGTCATTCCTCCGAGGGGGTTAGGAGTATGGCTTCCCAAGTCGAATAAGAACGGACAGAGGTCAGAGAATGTGGAATTGGTGCGTTTATGGTGGACCTTCGTGGGGACCAACATAACGCACATTTGCAAGGATCATCTGTGCACAATACGCCAATCGAGCGGTTATGGGGGGAAATTAAGGATCATTGTACCGGCCATTTCAAAGACCTGTTTTTGTACTTTTGAACAAGAGGGCATTCTCGACACATTATCAGACATCGATATTTTTTGCATTACATTTTGTATATCTTCCAGCAATCAACACAGCACTCGAGGAATGGAGACAAACCTATAACGAACACAAAATCAGAACAAAACGTAATATGTCACCAAACCAACTGAGACTAACCGGATACCACAGATACAGAAACTCTGGATACACATCTGTGAACGAATACTATAATGGACCTCCAATTGACGTTGAAACTCTTATCCAAAATGAAGGCGACGAAGAGTACCTCATTCGAATTTGTCGACTTGGTGTGATAGAAATTCAACAGGAATGTATTGAAGCGCTATTCAGGGAGGTTTTACCCTTTGAACCACTTGACGGGAATGGGAGGGACAAATTTTTGCTGGCCAAAATAATCATCCTACATTATCAGGATAACTAGTCGCCTTCGTTGTCCGTAAGGGTTTGAACGCCAATTTTGCGTGTTTTTGTTTTCTTGCCGAAGGATGTCAATCACTTAGCCCTAACTGATATTTACCAAAGAATATGTCAATTACAATTACATTTGTTTATTTTCCGTTGTTTTTGTAATATGCATTTGCATATGTATACCACTACTACTCTTTTATAATTGTGACCCTCCCACGAAGGTCCACTGTGAATCAAAGCATTTTGATTGTCTTTGATTTATGTTAAACTTGATACGCAATTTGATGTATATTTCTTCATAAGTTAGTAAGTCCGCCTTTTTCGGATTTCATTGTGTATAGATAATGACTGATGTTTGTTTTATCTTATTTGCAATCCATGTTTGATGATTATCAGATAATGACCATAGCATAGCGATCATACAATCGTTGTTGGTATATAAATAGGAAAAACCCAGAAAGAGTAAAAAAACCTTACATTT